TCCGCCGTTGGCGGGGAGCGGATCTTGGGTAGCGGACTAAAGCTAACAAGGCTGGATACCAGGCTAAAACATTCCTGCAGATAGAATCCGCTCAAGTACCTGCAATAATAATGTGGGTTGCTAGAGGCCCTCATTGACAGGTGTGACGAATTGGCATGATGACGATATGGATGCAGCAATAAACTGAAGCGCGAGGGAGTAAACTTTGCAAAGAAGGATACCATGTTCGCCAGAAATGGGAAACAGACGCACCAATAAACAGATAGCTATTTTTTTATCCCTTAATACAGAAGGGTTTGGTGAAAAAAATGGAATAACAAGGGGCACGTTTATGCGTTTTATTGATGCTTGTTGCAATTTTCATTACTGACCACATTTTCCTTGATTGTGTTCTTAATATCAGTCCCACACGTCCATAAGACACTTTGATGTGAAGAAAGTATCATATAGAAGATGTTGCGACAACTGTTTACGTTTTTGTTTGCGCATTTTTTGTTTTAAAGGCTAATGTTTACACCATATCCTGACTATATTTAACCCAGCATATCTACACGGTTCGCCAAGATGACGTAATTACTTCGCATGACGCATTGCGGCACGTGGACTTAATGTATGCATATTTTTGACGAAATCCTTTTATTTGATTGGTCCTCGTTTTGATTGAATTAAGCCTCAGTCACAATCTGTCCCAAGGCCATTGTTTTGCAGACTACTTGTACTTACTACACATATGTGAATATACCAGGCTCTTTTTAACGATAAATAAAGCCTATTGATTGTGCATTAAAATAAACACTATTTTCATGTTTATGTTGCGTCTAATCTTATTGGGTTGTGGCACGAGTTTAGATTGACATAAACGATTTTGTTGAAATTGATGGTTCAAAAACAGACCGCGTGCGAGCGCCCCCTACCGGAATTTATTCAACACGTATTTAACACATCCTCTGCTGTCTTGTTTCACAAAACGGAAGTCTCAAACAAAATCATATGGAATGCTTGTTAACAAAAATCTCGTTTACCAGAAGAACAAAAATTCTTCTAACATCCTTTGATTTAATTAGTCCATGCCAGACTGTTGTTTGTTTTTCCCAGAACGTTGTTGACTACTGACTAGTAAACAGTGTAATCCGGACATGGGTGAGTCGGTAAGCTTCGCGTACGGATGAAATCTTGTACGCAATGTCTGTAAAAGGAGGATGCGGAACAAATAAATGTTCTCGACTTTCCAAGTTTCGAAAAGAAAAGAAAAGAGAAAAAAGAAGTAAAAGAAATTAACACATTCAGCAAAAGAACAACACACACTATTATCAATGCAGTGGAATAATTTATTCGAATATTGCTTGTACGTCCTTTAATTCATGATTCAATATTTCCGTGTAACTTGCTTTCCCTGTTAGTATTGGATTGTGGCATTGTGCCCTTTCAAAATATTAATAATTATATTATAACAATAAGAATTAACTTCACTAGCTACACCTCATCAGAGGAAGATTGAAGAAGAAGAATTATTCCATTTTGAATATTTTTTGACCTCGTAAAACTGGAACAAGTCCACATTTTCTTTCTATATACTAGTATTGTGTAATCAATCGTTTCTCAATATTTCCCTGTCGAATGCACTTCGTAAAAAATGTGCTAAACGTTAGAAAACAGCCACACTGTCACACATCTGCTTGATAAGTTTCCGTACGTCCTTCGTGGTCAGTGATCACGTGGACCCTCCCCGCAACAGTAACGGTTTGTCCCCGTCAACTTCTCACATGTTGCGACTTGCGGGGCGCGTAGTTCAAGAGTCTGCCGACAAAAACTTCGGTAAGTCCAGATTCAACTGATTTTCCTTCATCTTCCTTCACTTCCAGTCGTTGTTACAACTTGGTAACAACTTCCTAGACTGTTGACAAAATGTAGGATCAGTTTTTGGACTGAAATCTTGAAAAATCGAGGAAACGTGGTCCACGATGTTTTTCTTATTTTCCCACGGGGGTTTGCGGAATGTTGAAAACAGCGGTTGTCAACCTGTCTTCGCTGCTTCTTCAGGCTGTTAATCTGTATCTAAGAAGTTTGTTGTTGCTTTGAATCCGTAGAAAACATGGAATTCCTAGTTTTGATAATCGAAGAGAGGGATAGAACGAAAACAAGCAACTTAAAAACCAAGGACATTTTGTATGTCCCTTTTAGAACTGAAACGGGGGCGTGTACTATAAAATGTCATGGTCTGTTTGCCACTGTCTATACCGATCTTTACTAGGGTTGTTTTGTAAAACATTTGTCTTATTTTTAAAGATGACTTTGAGAATTTTGCCTTGAAAGTTTGTTGTTCCTGAATACTAGTAATTTGATATATCGTCTTTCAACTCGAACGCTGAAGGCAAGATATTAGAAGGCAAGATTTACATGTAAGAAAGGCTTCAAATAAATTATTGCGAGTACGTACGTACTAGAAAAGAGATGTGATTTTTGTGTTGTCTGTTTCCACCCTCAGTTTATGCCCTCAGTTCCCACTTTAGCTTTTATTTTGAACCTCCTTGATCAGAAATTATCATAGGGAATTGAGATTGAGAAGCTTCTTTTTCATGTTTTCCTCTGTCCACGAAATGTTTATTTTCGTTACTAAGTTGGTACAGTTTACTAACAGGAATTAGTTGGTGTAACCAACTGTCTTTTACATAAATACAGGTCTCTTGTATGATACAGACCAACTCCCTTGTACCACAGATGTTTTTCCATTCTGTTACTTGTCTTTTAGGTTTGAGAATTCTGTATAAAATTGTGTTTGACTTTTTTTTTTCAAAAAACAAACAAACAGTACAGTAACTAAGAATCTTAAGGTATTAAAGTTTATCAGTGCACACAAGTTATATTAAACATAGATACTGATATACATGTAACATGGTAATGTTTGAGTTACATGTAAAAGTTTGAGTTACATGCCAGAACTACTTATATTTGAAATTACAGCATCAATCCTTTCATATACACATTGTTTCATTCAACTAGCCATTCATTCATTAATTCTTTCAGTTTTTCTTTCATTACCCCTTTCCAGTAATGTCAGTAACATGTGTTATATTGACAGGTGTTTAGTTGTAAGGTTTAGAGAGAACAGCCAGAGTGATGTCAGAGATAGAACAGTTGTTTTATTTCTTTAATCTCCAATCCCTCCCTCCCTCCTTCCTGAGTTGTGGGTTAGTTTCTCCACTGTTGTTTTGAAGCAGTAAAAGTAAAACAGCTGAGCAGACATCAGACAATATTATAACAGGAGAAAGTGTTTCTTTTGTCATTCACTCCCTCCTTCCTGAGTTGTGGCTATAAGTGTGTCCACAGTTATGTTGTAGTGAAAGTAAAACAGCCGAGCAGACATCAATAACAGGCAAAAAAGTTCTGGTTCAGGCCCAATGGCCACTGACCACTAGAATTTAGGCTTGGACAACTGAAAAGAAACTTTGGGACATTTTTGGGACGGTAAAAAAAAATCAACATCGAAATGTCAGCCCTTCTTTGGTTTATCAGGCATACGTCCCGGCTTTTAGATCTGGAAAAGTCCCCCCAAATTTCCTGTCTACCCTGCAATTATACATGCCTGCGAGTCAGAACTTAAAGAAAAAAAAAGTTGACTTCAAGTTGAAGTCATGCAATTCCCCCCAAAACCAGGTTGGAACAGTTCATCCTCACTTTAATAGGGACAATTGAAATGTATTTTGGGGA